AGTAGAGAGAGAAGAGAGAGAGAGACGAAGAGAGAGAGAGAGAGAGAGAGAGAGAGAGAGAGAGAGAGAGAGAGAGAGAGAGAAAGAGAGAGAGAGAGAGAGAGAGAGAGAGAGAGAGAGAGAGAGAGAGAGAGAGAGAGAGAGAGAGAGAGAGAGAGAGAGAGAGAGAGAGAGAGAGACGGGAGAGAGAGGCCGCCCCCCCCCCACACCTAAAATAAAATCCTAGCTACGCGCCTGCTGGGCGGTCATTGATGTCTATATTTATGGCACTGCTGTGTTAGTAACCTATCAATAGTAGAGCAATATGAAAATAATTTTTAGGCATGCACCGCAGAAGCAACCTATCGCGATCCCTGAAATGGTTGTGCGAAGATAAAAGATGAATTTTTTATAGTGTAGGCCCTACCTACATGCATTTGCAGATTGTATTCAGTCAGGGTTCACTGGCGTTCAATGGCATAGCTTAAAGCAGTACAATAATTCCGTGCACATTTCAACACGAGAAGAGTGCATGCATATATTGGTGTCAAACATTATCACTGCTGTATTATTCACAATTTGACGTATGTTTACCAGCCTAGTGAAATCCAAGTGCGCTACATTAACTCCTGCACTGTACTGCTTGTGGTAGCGCAGCTCCAGGATTACCATGACCTTATATTTACATTATTAAACCGGCCTGGCAATAAGCAATCAACTAATTTGCTGACAGGTGAGAGAATTTGCAACAATAAGATCAATCGAAAGCATTGATCTACATTCAACTTTCATGGACACATCGGACATTTGGTTAGAGTAATCTTTTCAATTATATATTCTATGCTTTTAAGTGCATTGGAAATGTCAGATATAATGGTTTCAGGCACGTAATTCACAGACATCCCCATGCAGTTCCCTTCGCATAGTCCCACAGAATAGACATTTATTAAAAGTAGATATTCGAAAACTGTAGCAAAAAAAAATGCGTAAAAAGGAGACGAAACGGTATAAAAATAAACACAACACGATAAATAGAATGGCGTCATAAATGCTTGCGTTTATTTCAGCAGGCAGGCTTGGACATAAACACACGCAACACGACGCGCGCGAGTGCTGGACTGCGTTACCCACGCATACAACAATAAATAATGCAACCAGAGAAACACCTCACACCCCCGCAAGTGCTCTCCCGTAAGTACAGCGCTAACATCACGATACAATGACCGCGACGCAAGATCGCCATGGTAACGTGACTCGCTGGGAGGGCAGCAGAACCCCCACCTTCCCATGACAACGAAAAGCACCCTGCTGGGGGGGGGGGGAGAGGAAAATACATCACCGGAGCAACAGGATCCATTGCGAGGGCAAGAGAACGCATATTCCAAGGCAATAGAACAACAAAGTACATGTCGGCTATGAATATGCGTGCTTCGGCCATGAAGAGTGTCGAAGTCTAGACTCAATCGTAATCCTCACCTGTAGAGAAATTGTAATCACTCTCCATCTTTTGCAAGCTTCGAGGTGTTACTCTTCGAAAGCAAGAGATAGAGAGAGAGAGAGAAGAGCGAGTGAAAGAAAAAGAAAGTGGTACAGTCAGAGCAAGAAAGGCGAAGACAATTTTGAGAGCACTTTTAATAGAGACAGTAAGCCAGTGGTCACAGACTACATGTCAGTGCTAGTCGACAGATGTCATGCGAATGCAAAGATAAATTGCCGATTTTCCCCATTTCTTTATGTCAGACAAGAAATTCCTTCATAAATCTCCTCAACCACAGTTCACCGATCAACAGAATCATTCCAACACCATTCTTAGTGCAGTCCCAATATCGTTTTACATCCAATGATCCGATCCGTTGGAGCTACGTGCTGAAAGTGGTGCCCTCTATGAGAGTGTCATCGTGTTGGCAGTCGAGTAACTACCAGCGCGTGGTTAGACAAAACAAACAATGTGTTAACACCGCCCCATCATGGGGGACAGACACGTCACCCCTTCCGAGATCGACCGCTCACACAACTTTAATAAACGTTAGTACACCCATGAGCTCATCTCATCTGATGTGGATGGACGATCAAAGTCCGTTGTCGTCATGACAACATCCGTGAGATTAGTGACAAGCTGCGAGCACCAGCCTCCACATCCGCATGTCGTCACACACGGCGCACCAGCTGCTGAAAAATACCGCTACTTCCCAGCTGAAGCCTCGGCGGCAACACAAACAAGTCAGCAGTAGTATCTGGCATGGGCGACTCGTCCGTCGGACAATCTCTTCCACTAACACCATCCCGCCTTCCTTCCCAATGCTTCGACGCGGGAACGCCGATGCGTGCTGGATGACCGTCGCCACGGCAACTGTCGTCGCGGCAACGACGACGATCCCTCTCATTTCTCCGGCTTCTCTGCCGCCGACTTCTTGCCCTTCTGGTGGGATCCTTCCTTCTGCTTCTTCGTCTTCTTCGTCACAGCCTCGTCTATTGGAGCCGGCTTCACAAAGGGGATGACCTCGTCATAGCCTGCGGGAAAGACAGAGAGAGAGAGAGAGAGAGAGATGAGAGAGGGGAGAGATGAGGGAGGAGAGGGGAGATAGTGATAACAGGGATGAGCTGAGGGAGACGAGAGAGGGAGAGAATGACGACAAGAGAAAAAAAGAGAGGAGAGATGGAAGGAGAGAGGGACAGGGAGAAGGATGGAGAGAGAGGGCAAGAGTGATAAGAGAGTGAAGGGCAGCTCAGAGAGCAAGAGAGAGAGAGAGAGAGAGTGAGGTACATAGAGAAAGAGAGGGAGAGAGAGAGAGAGAGAAGAGAGATGAGATGAGAGAGCAGAGAGAGAGAGAGAGAAGGAGAGAGAGTAGAGAAGAGAGAAGAGTAAGAGAGAAAGAGAGAGAGAGAGAGAGAGACGAGAGAGAGAGGAGAGAGAGAGAGAGTGTGAGAAAGGGACAAGCATGGAGATACAGATAAAGCAGGAGTGGGGTAGAGAAAAAGAGATCACGCACTGCGTGGTTACTAGTCTGCTCACCAGGTGGCATGAAAAGCTTCAGCGAGGCGGGAATGGCGATGCCGCTCTCCGTCTGATTGTTCTCGAGTATCGCGCAGATCACGCGCGTGGTGGCGCACATTGTCGCATTCAACATGTGAACGTAATCCACCTAGCGGCGGGTGCGGGTGCGAGAAAAAAACAAGAGAGCAACGTCAGGGTTTGTCTCGCGGGTCGAAACGAGCGCGAATGCGAGAAATACTGTGGCAACCTTGAAAGTAAAACGTTCGCTGTGCGAAGTTAAAGATTAAATTTCAAATGACAAATTATTGAAGTTAAAATGAAATCAAAACACACAACAACAACAACAACAAAACACGCATCAGCAACTGTCACACAAGCGAGCGTCTCAGCTCTATGCCTCTTGCCGTATTTCGATACCAGGGGGCACCGCTCGCCGCGTTTCGATGCAAGGAGGCACCGCTCGCCGCGTTTCGATGCCAGGGGGCGCCATTTACCTGTCCGCTCATCTTCTTCGTCTGTCCGTACCGCACCAGCAGCCGCCGCGCCTGGTAGTCGGTGCAGTTTGAGCAGGAGACGAGCTCTCGGAACGCTCCCGATCCCGGGAACCACGCCTCCAGGTCCTGTTTCTTGGCCGCAGCATGGTTGAGCGCACCTGGGAACGAGGATGCGGGCGCACGAATGTCAACGGAATAGCATGAGCATGTTGGTGAAACAAAAACTCACCTTTTACTTTACTTTTATTATAAATATATATATATATATATATATATATATATATATATATAGTACTATATATACTACGTACGTAACNGACATCCGGCTGTAGGTGGGCGTACGCCATGTTGAATGTCTTTCTCAGAAACCTGTAGAGATATATATGATAATAATAATAATAATAATAATCAAGGTGAGCGTATGCCATGTTGAATGTCTTTCTCACAAACCTGTAGAGATATATATAATAATAATAATAATAATGATAATCAAGGTGAGCGTATGCCATGTTGAATTAATGTCTTCCTTGCGAACCTGTAGAGAAGTAATTGTGTACGTGACTTGCAACAACATCCTGATATCTTCCCCAAGTTCACTGAACATCACATACCATCACATCAAGAGCCCATGAAACCTTGATCACATGCCGATATGAATCAGACCGGAAAAAAACTAAAAAATAAAAAAATTCACTAAAAAAAATATAACAAATTAGCTCACACACTGCTATAGTGCTAATGCATTGCCGGCGTCTGTTGCAGGATTACCGGTCTGAATCCCAGCGTGTGAGCCACCCCAGGAAGCTTGGTTCATTGCGATATCCAATCAGCTGTGGATCGGATACCAGCATCACAGTGAGCTTGCGATCGGTGGCTACAGAGCTGGACAGCTGCGGCCAGTGCCATCTGCTGGCAAAATAGCAAAACTCCTCATTGACGAGTATGAGTAGAATCACAAGACCTGTCGGAAAAAACGTCGTTTGTTATCAAAGTTTCTTTTCTAAGGCTTCTATTGACGCAATCTGCAATTAGTTTTTGACATAAACGCACTCTTTTACATACACCTTTTTCACATACTTTTTTTACATAGGCCTACACTTCTTCTACATACATAGATGTTTACATACACACACAAACACACACACACGTACTCTGGTGAGACAACGAACTGTAATGCATACACACCTATGACAAGTTTTACTTTACGTCTTGTCCATATCAATGCTTTCAGCTTCATTCTGTTTCAGCAATTCAGGATATTTATTGCTTCAATCATTCCAAGCAGATGACGTGACTGTCCTAGAGATTGAGAATAGTACATAAATTGGTTCATAGAATTCATTCAAAATATACATGTATACATCAGGCAAAGTATTGATATATATTATATATATCGTATTAGTGCCTCAGTGGGGACTTTTGAAGACACTTTTTCCATTTCCAGTGAGTGTCAGTGAGTGACACAGTGAAATCCACTCTATAGATTAGACAGTCACACGCATCTGTAAAGGACACTTTTTGAGTTTCGCTCCAGTAATGCTTATAGATATAGGGTTTGGCTAGCACATTACAGGCAACATCAACTAATTTAAATCTATGCTATGCGATGCTATGTGGCGTACTGATTCGAGTCCCATGGTAACACCCTTACCACAGGTTTGACTGTCCACACACAAGTTCATGACCCTGGCAACCGCACATCCAGTAACTGCACACCGCACGCTCGGCAACCGCGCGCCCGGCAACCCTACACCCGGCAAGACTACAGCTGGCAACCCTACAGCTGGCAACCCTACAGCCCTACTACATGTAGTTATTTTCAATCATGTTATATCAATGTAACACTGAAAGAAAACACTTGAAATATCATCAAAATGATTTTTTTTCGATCGTAATAAAAATCATAGTTGAATGCAAACTGGTCGTAGCGGTCAAAATGCAAACGAAATTCGTGTAAAATACAGATCTATAAATCATAGTGGTTG